CTTACGATGGTTAGTTTTAGGGCATGTTTCAATTAGCATCCTTATGCTTCGCATATTTGCATCCATTCATCTGTCTTGCATGCACCAGGCTCAGTGCATCATACTAACTGCATTGTATTTCAATTCTGAGTTGAATACATGTTATCTGTAGCATCTCATATGCCATCTTAGAATAGCCGAGGCTATCTTAGTTGTATTTTGCATGTGTTGCATTAGCCATCTTAACATGAACTAGGATTATGCATTGATTACTAACTAGTTTCTGTTTTGGCTTGGAGTACACTGTGAGTGTTTATGCTTTAGCATCTTGCATGTATGTGAGTGTTAACATGATAGCATGCTTGCCATGAGGCTAACTGCTTATGTGATATACTTGTCTGAATGCCTGTGGATGAAGGTTGGATTATTTAAATTGGAACAATTCATCGATTGCGAGTTTTAAGCCCACTTGAGAGTGGCAAATCGCCATGTTTTCTAAGCCCACTTGAGGGTGGCAAAATCCACATTTTAGCCTACTTGCGAGTAGCAAACCGCTTTCAAAAACAAACATACGATGTTTTGTTCCAACTTAGACGATCCAGTCTATATTTGTATGCTGTGCGCATCACGTAGCAATTATAGGCTAATAAACCGGAATAAGAGCACATATGTTTTCAAAAACAAGATATCATGTTTAGTAGTGGCCGATCATTGATCGAGCGAGCGGGGGTGCTCATTGCATGACTTTCCCTAATCGTACCCAAGTTCCCGAGCCGAGGCAACTTTGGTGATGACGGACACGTGGCTTTAGGCACGAGTCAGGGTTTCCTAAATTCCCCCAAAATAAAATATTTAGGTGGCGACTCTGTATCTGGCGAAGCAGTCCATGTTTGGCACTTCTTTCTAAAAATCAATTTTTCAAAACGATTTGCCGGATTTGGACTCTTTGGTGATTTATCGATCTTGCATTGCACTTTGTGAGATTAGATTCAGAACTGTGACATTAAATCCGAACTGTAGTGAGCCCAATGAACAAAACGGGATTTTTTTTTGGGACATTCGAGGACGTCTACACCAAGCCTTATACCTCTTGAAGAGGAGAACACTTTTAAGCAACAATTCAATACAAACACACTCTCAAGAGCTCAAAGTAGGCTCAAAAGTACCTCAGCTCCAAGATGGTAAGGTTTGGTTTAGAGTGTATAGGCTAAGGTTCAATAACTAGCAAGAGAAAAAGAGAATTGTAGAGAGAGAGAAAATATTTTGCTCCAAAATTTTCCAACCTACAAAGCAAGAGGGGAGGTTCTCTATATATAGACAAACATCAAACTCCCTCAGAAATATCAATACATACACGCGTAAGCAAGTGCATGCATCTGTGACAATAGCTGGCACAGCTGGCAGAAAATATTTGCAAAACACACTTGTGGCCGGCAGGCCAACAGTGGTGGCCGGTAAGTTCCAAGATTTTTCAAGCTTGAAAAGCTAGGGTTTTGGTCCAAAACAAGGCAAGAGGTGTATAGGGTTTTAAGGCTCAAAATTGTGGCATTTTCCTGAGGGCTTCGAGCACTTGACAAGCATACACATATTCATTATTAGGTGTGCAAGTGGTGATGTCCAAGTCGTAAGGGCAGTCAAAAATGGGGTGTCTACAGTGAACCTTTTGCTTTGATGTTCAACATGGGATTAAGATTTGCAGTAGTAAGTTACGTGGTCAGAGTTTTTATCAATTATAATTTTGAAGTTTAAAAGTTAGTTTGATGTGACATACACCTTATGATGTTATGTTTTTATTTTTAAGAAATTCGAATGCATGCTATTTTTATTTTTTTGATCCGCTAATGGTTGAGAGACTCTCTTGGGGTATTGATATCTAGAGATTAGTTTGTCTAAATACTGTGCATTAGGGAAAAACTAGTTACATGAATTGGTTATTGATGGTGTTTTTGTTGGTTTGTCTCTCTTTACCACTGGTATTTTTAATTTTTTTATTTATTATGGTTTTAACCCTTAGCAAAAATCATATTTTAGGACAAAAATCTAATATTTGAAACAAAACTAGCCACCGACTGGCCACCACCACTGCCAACTATTGACCACTCTCTTTGTTCCTCTTTGCCACCCCTCCGCATTCCCTTCTCTTCCCTTCCCTTTCCCTATCCATGCAACACCTTCCCCTGCCACACTTTCCCATTTCGCCCACGCCACGGCCCCTTCCCTTGTTATCCTTCTTGATTTGCTGTCTCTTCTGCCATTGCTGTCACCCACCCACTTTTCTTCATTCTTCTATCCTAGGTCAATTTCTCTCTCTCTCTCTCTCTCTCACACACACACACACAATGGTGGGGAGTTGAAGAGGGAAGGACTGGGTCGTTGTGGTGGGGGTTGGGTTGTAAGGATGGGAGTTGTGAAACAAATGGTTGTGGTGGTCAAAGGTGGTGGTTGAAGTACGTGTGAAGTCAGGGGTTGAAGTGGGTGTGAAGTAGGGTTTGAAAAAATAGGTGTGTAAACACAAGGATGAGATGGCTGGAATGGTAACATATTTGGAATTATTAATGGTGTAACATGAAAAAGTAAAAAAAAAAAATTGAGTTTTTTCGTGTTCTCAAAATAAATAAATAAATAAGTAATTTTAATAAAAAGCATTCCGGAGTGTTGTTATTCATAGTCACCATTTTCAGTTGCCTGCCACTGTCATTTTTGGTCCTTTGTTATCCTTGTATGGGATGTTTGTTTGGAGAGGGATTGGACGGCTTCGAAATAGTTCAGTATCTCAAGATTAATCGTTTAATGGATTACAATTCCTTTTTATTCAATCTAAACAAACATGGTCTTAGTTTTCATAGTATAGAATTTGTATCATTTTGATTTATAATATGTAAATTTTGTCAATTTAGTCTTTAATCTATAAAAAATGTTTTAATTTGATCTTCCAACTTAACTCGGTTCTAGATGTTGTCAAAGTTAGAGGTAAATGTGACAACTCAATTTTAAAAAATTGCTCCTTTAGATCATCTCCATCCGAACTTCTAAAATTTGGAATGCCAAATTTTTTTTGAAGGCCTGTGTGACAAATTGACATATACCAATTTGACATAAAAGCTCTGCATCCGATATGCCAAATATATTATTATATTATTTTTAAAATTTAAACTCTTTTCTAATGTCATCCCATGACATCCCTCGGGATGACAATCTTGGATGCTTCAATTCAAGACAAAAGAAATGAAAAAAGAAAAAGAAAAAAAAGGGGTATCAAGGGGTCTTCATGTCAAAATTGGCATGAAAGTTTAATGTCAAAAGCCATATCAGGATGAAGTTGATATTTGATGCCAAAACATAACTGTTCGAGTGCCACATCAAATTTGAAGTATCGGGTGAAAGTGCTCTTAGTTATAAATATATGTAATCTGTACATTATTTTGGTTCCGATATATAAAAGGAAATTAAAAAATTTTAAGACCCCAAAAAATTTTCATAATTTCACCGACCATGATATTATGATAGGTGACTCATGGACTTCTGGCTACATGTACAAGATGTGCAATACAAATAAGATAAGAAAAATGCTTGGGAGCACTAATTAGTGCTCCCACTAATTAGGTGGCAGTGGATCCCGTCATTAATGATGTGATATTTTGGTCTTGGAGTTGTATTTTTTTTTATTTTTTACTTTTTTAATGCATTAGTGCTATTAGTGGTGATATTTTTAGTGGGATGAATCATTGTTGATAAGATAATCAACTTCAAAAGATAGTCATGGTAAAAATAATGAAGCACAAATTCTAAGTTCTAAAGATTGATCAGCAACAAGAACACAAGAATGTTATCTAGAACATTGAATAAGAACTTTGCCATACCTACTTTTTGATCAAGCAATCTGCCCTGATGAATAGAATGGTAAAACCAATCAACAATAATAAATGAAATATATTTATAGATAATGAAGCACAAATTCTAAGTTCTAAAGATGGATCAGCAACGAGAACACAAGAATGTTATCTAGAACATTGGATAAGAATTTTTTATGAACTAGCAGTTGGTGCCATACCTACTTTTTGATCAATCAATCTGCCCTGATGAATTGAATGGTAAAACCAATCAACAATAATAAATGAAATATATTTATAGATTACTAAATGAATTATATTTTTTCTCTCTCTAAAAAAAAACAATAATAAATGAAATATATTTATTTGTAGATTACTAAATTGTAAAAATTAGGGGTGCAACTCGAGCAGGTTCGGTCGGGTTGGGAGGTTGTCCAAGCCCAACCCAAGTTGTGCTGAAACCTGCCCAAGCCCGCCCAAGTCCAAATTATAACCCGAGGTTTCCTGCCTAATCCCAACTGGAGTTAAACCCGAATTGCCCGAATTGTAAATGATTTTTTTTTTTTAGCTACATTATTGAATTATTAAAATTTGATTCTATTTACATTTTTTTTATATAGAAAATCATTAATACCATCAAAACAAATAATTTATATAATGTAAAAGAGATCCCGTTATAGTAGTCTTTATAATTTATGAGTGAAAATAAAAAAAGTAAGATTTTATGTTATTTGTATATATAATATGTATTTAATATGATTTAATAATCTAAATTACTTTAATATCATGTAATGACCAATAATTTATACGTATATTTAATATTTTTATATATCTATATATGTATAATTCGAGCTTCGGGTTGTTTGGATTATTTGACGTTTTTGCCCAAATCCGTCTAAATTTAATTCGGACTTCTGAATTTTTGTCCAAACCCGTACTAAATTTGAAAATATCTTGTCCAAACTCTAAAAAAATTTAGACTGTGCTCGGGTTGCTCGGATTGAGTCCCCCAAATTGCACCCTTAGTAAAAATTGGAAAAGATGAATTTTTTCTACCTTATCAAGTTTGAAGATAGGGAGACTAAATACAAAAATAGAGGATGAGCGAAATAAATTAACAGAAAAAACAAAAAAAGAAAAGAAAAGAAAAAGGCAGTCTCATTCCTATTAAAGTAGCTATCAGTGCCAAACTACAACAAACTAAACATTACCCATTTAGTTCAATAGAATGAGCAATTGGCTACTTAGTACCTGTGTGGAACTAAAAACCTTAGTCCAATTGCTTAGAAGGACCCATTTAATGTCGAAATTTAAAATATACAATAATTAAAAAAAATCTTCTACAAATTTCTCATTTTAGTAATACCTTCATGTAATTAGACACCATACTCTACAGGATAAAACGGATAACAAGCAAAGACACAGTCAATATAGCCTAAGAATAAAAATAAAAAACTGTTGAATTGTCCCAACCCAAATAATTTATAAGAGAAGCCTACTCTTACATCCCATAAATATTGCTTATCTTTTGTGAAGATCATTTTTTGATTTGAAGGTTTTCATTTTGCAGATACTTGAGCACTCCATAAGCAACTGTTCCCGCAACAAACAAGAAGACTGTCGGCGTAAATGATGGGTATAGATACTTGACAAAGAATTTATCCCACTCTTCTGGTAGAAAGCCTGTGAATTTAAGAAGTTAATCTGGAAGTGAAATAAAATGATTAGGTGCAAAACAGAATTCATTTGTATACTTTTCTTTCCAATCTTGCATCTACTCATTGTCCAAAGGAACCATACATGATATGCATGAGTTATCTAATTAAATACATGTTTCTCAACCACAATCAACTCATAATCATTCAAACATATTGCAGAAACTTAAAGGTAGAATAAGCAGTATCGATGGATGCACAAATATCAACGAGTCCACCAGAAATAAAAATGTGTTTGTAGCTAGTAATCGGGACACAGACCAAGGCTTTTCAAGCAAAGCAAAAAATAAAAAAACAAAAGTTCCCCCGTCCCCAGTAGTGACTGGAAAACAATGGCGGGTCAAAGTTGGGGGAAGAGAAACTAAATCAAATCAAGCCTTGTGTTCCAATCAAATGAGATCAGTTAGATGATTATTTTCCATCATTCTGCTCGGTCAAAATTTGGGGGAATAGAAGCTATACTAAATAAATGTATGTGTACATATACATCTATATACACATAAGTGGGTTATAAAGCCAGTGAAAATGCTCATTTTTTTAAAGAAAAAAATCACAAAAAAGAAAGAAAGAAAAATCAAGTGAACATGGTTTTAATGAGCCAAAACTGACATGGACAATATCATCTGGAAAAAGATTGTTAAACTTGTCTCATATCGTCTATCTAAGCCATCTAAGTTCAATTAATATACTTGAGAGACCCCTCCACTCATTGCCAATTGCTTTTGAGTTGAATGCTTTTAACATGATGTCAGAGCTGGTCTTGGGTGGTCTTTAATGGGTCAAGTCTCCACCCAATGTCTAATCTCTCACCCCTCATCTCCCTGTCACCTCCACATGCTATCCGGGCAATCTCTCATCTCTCTATCATCTCCACATGCTATCCAGGCTGCATGTGCGGTTGAGAGGCCGGGCTAAAATTCTAATGTGAAACCATTAATGTTATAATTTCCTAATCATAATCAACTTACAATCACCAAAAAGGATATAACTTTCTGAATCAATCCCAATTTTAACATGGCAAGCAATTACAATTACAATCCCAATTCAATTTTATCTACTCTGGACAAATCTACACACAAAAAATTCAAATTCAACAAGTCAATAGCAACTGAATATACCTGAAGCAGCCAGAGCAATACCCTCTATGAGAACAATCGAACCGAGAACCAACCACGCAAGAAGGAAAGCACTCTCATTCTTCAGCTGATCATTTTCCTGAGCCCCATCTTCTTCTTGTTGCTTCGAAACAAACTCTGGTTTCTCGACCGGCGATCTGCGAATAATCGAGGCCCTCTCTCTCCTACTACTCTGTTTCTTCTTGGTACTAACTGGATTCACCTTCGATTTCTTGGAAGACGAAGATGAAGAGCCAAACCCTAGGCCAGTCGAGGAGAGTTTTTTGGGTGGTGGGTCGAGAGAAGATGAGGAGACATTGATTTGGGAAGCGGGTTTTGGAGGTTCTGTGGAGGAGTTTTGGGATTTGACGATGAATTGTGGTGGTGGTTTGGGAGGGGAGTGAAGAAGAAGCAGAGGAAGATGGGGTTTCTTGAGGAGAAGATGTGATGATGAGGAGTGGATTATTAGCGCCATTTTCAGTTTTGTTGGTTAATGATGGATGATGCCCTCCACTCCCACCATTAAAAATTGTGATGACCCTCTCCCTCTCTCTCTCTATTTTAATAAATATAAATAAATTAAAAATTAATAGAAAAATAAGACTGCAAATAGTAACACAACCATTAGTGTGTTCCTAACACTTTTAGAAAAATAAAATAATATAGTGTCTTTGCAAAAGTAGGTGATTTTTTTTTTTTATCAAATATGATTCAATGATATAATTAACGATGTTGGTTAATTTTTTGCATCAATTATATTTTGAAAGGGTATGGATCGAAAATGAATCCATTAATCCTAACTACATCTCTCAAGTTGCGTGTTGGTTTGGAAATTTGAGAACATATTCAGAAAGAAAAAAGGAAAGATGTATGAAATTATGTTAAATATAAATATATTTTATTCACATTTTATCTATCTTTTTTTATTGCCTTTTCAAATCCTTTACAAAATTCCTTAACTAAACACAGCCCTAAACGATGCGAACACAAGAGAGTGAATTTCATGATAGTTTAGTATAGTGAAAATATTGGTAGAACTAAATCCATCATTTTACAAGCATTGAAATTTTAATTTTGAGTTATTTTTATAACTTTTGGATTTAAATATTATATTTAAATAGTATTTTTTATATTTAATTTTAGGGAGACTTATTTATAAATTCTTTTTCAGATACTTATGCTAGGTTAAGTCCTGTGTAATTTCTTATAGAGTCTCAAGTCCTATTTAGATAAGAATGTATTCCACAAGATCCTACATAAACGTAACGTGACGTGACACTTACATAAACGCAACATAACGTGACACCTACGTAAACGTAACGTAACGTGACACCTATATAAACATAACGTGACACATATACGTAACGTGACACTTACATAAACATAATGTGACACTTACATAAACGTAACGTAACGTATCATGTTACGTTTTGCAAACTTAATGAATTTTTATTTTTTTAAATTGAATGTGAAAATATTGCTGGTTTATGTTGGTATCACATTACGTTTATGTAGGTGTCACGTTACGTACAGGTGTCACGTCACGTTACGTACAGGTGTCACGTTACGTTTATGTAGGTGTCACGTCACGTTACGTTTATATAAATATGATCTATGATAACATTTAATTTCCTATATATGGTTTTACTATTATTTATGATATTAACAACTAATATTGAGATAAATGTGTCAACAAACTTCCGACAGGACTTATGGGAACATAAGTTTTTTAGTAGAACCATATATAACATAAGTCTCCTATTAGGACTTATAAATAATTTTCCCTTAATTTTACGTTTATGTTTTGTAATAAAAATTAGAATGTGAGATATTTATAAGGCATCCCACTAACTTTATTAATTGGGAAAATTCCACATCAATCTACACCTTCAAAAAAAACTTTATTCATTGGGAAAATTTCACATCAATCTACACCTTCAAAAATAATTATAAATTAATAATAAATTTTATCAATATTAATAATTAAAATTATAAAAATTTTCATATATATGTAATAATTTTTTGAAGATTACATTGGAATAATTTCCCTTCTTCATTTCAGTTCCGATGTTAGATTTTATTGATTTTTGTAACACACTTAAGACTATATGTTCTTTATTTGTATTAAATAAAAAAAATTGACAAAAGTAAACGATAGTACTGATCCATTTCAATTTATCAACTTACAAAATTGAATATGTTATAAGAAAAGAAAAGACCCACACAAAAGAAAAGAAAAATTATTTACCCTCTGAAGATGTGTGTGTGTGTGTTTGAGAGAGAGAGAGAGAGAGAGAGGAGCGTGAGACTGCTTCACATGGACCATATCATTGGGGTGGAATTGAGAGTCTCAATTAGAGGATGTAGTGGGATTGAAAATAAAAACTATTTATCTCCTAATTGAAATCTCCAAATTACATCCCTTAATTGAGGTCCTCCAATTCCACCCTTAATGATGTGGAATTAGTGGGGTTAAAGATGTGTGTGTTTGTGTGTGTGTGTGTGTGAGAGAGAGAGAGAGAGAGAGAGAGAGGAGTGTGGGATTGTTTTACATAAGTATTAGTCATGTCATTGGGGATGGAATGGGGGCCTTAATTAGGAGATGTAATGGGATTGATAAAAAAAATGATTCATCCTCTAATTAAGAGCTCCAAATTCTATCCCTATTTACGTGATTAGGACCTACGTGAAAACACACCTACAGTTCTCTCTCTCTCAAACTTTATTTTTTAATCGACATCATTGGAGATGGAATTAAAGGGCTAAATTAAGAGATGTAGCAGGACTGATGTTATAATTAAAGACTATAAAAATAGTAACTGAGCATATGATAATTCTTTTTTGGGTAAATTACACTAACTTTTATTGAGGTTTAGAAAAAATACAGTAAGTTTCGCAAGTTTGACATAATTACATACACTACACTCCCTAAAAGTTTTAATTCATATAATATCTGGCTTCACTTTCATTAAAAATTTATTAGTCGTATTAATAAAAAAATAATTTTATCATTTTTTTTACATTGAAATATATATTTTATTGGGGGATTTTTTTTTAAGGTCCCTAATAATAACAATTTAGAGGATAAATGACACACAAAAAGATAGTGATGCCTCACGTCCCTGAAACAACTTGGCGCGCGTTTTTAATTATTTTGTGGACCAAAATACCCTCGCCAAAATCAACACAGAACCAAACTCATTCCGACGTCTCAGTTACATTCCAAACATCCAGCATCTTCACGAACAGAAGACCAGCAGAATTAGGGTTTCAACATCATCTGCACCATCGACATTACAGCTTCGTTATCCTCTCCAAAGATCATTCCCATTCCTTCCTCACAAATTTCTCTGACCTACGTTAAAGCTTCGTTTTCACGGCTCATCATCATCTCAGTCCATCTTCGTCACGTCGCATCTTCATCGCGGACCATATCAGCTCATCATTCAAGTTTCATCCTAACTCTGGTCAGTTTTTCTACAATACAACTAGATTTTCTCTGGAAACACAGTTAATAGCATTTTATAATAACCTTTCATAAATTAGGGTTTCAATTTCGTAATAAAAAGCTACCTGAATTTGAAAAAATTTATTTCTGTGTATTTTGAACATATTCTTCAACATGTTTGTTTGATTTTATCTGTAAATTTCTCTGGCATTTGAATTTCTCTGATTTTTGTGTGTGTGTGTGTGAGAGAGAGAGAGAGAGAGGGAGGGGGGAGGAGTGTGAGATTGTTTTAAGTATTAGTCATGTCATTGGGGATGGAATGGGGACCTTAATTAGGAGATGTAATGGGACTGATAAAAAAAAAATGATTCATCCCCTAATTAAGACCTCCAAATTCTATCCCTAATTAAGTGGTTAGGACCTACGTGAAGACACACCTACAGTTCTCTCTCTCTCTCTCTCAAACTTTATTTTTTAATCCACATCATTGGAGATGGAATTAAAGGGCTAAATTAAGAGATGTAGCAGGACTGATGTTATAATTAAAGACTATAAAAATAGTAACTGAGCATATGATAATTCTTTTTTGGGTAAATTACACTAACTTTTATTGAGGTTTAGAAAAAATACAGTAAGCTTCACAAGTTTGACATAATTACATACACTACACTCCCTAAAAGTTTTAATTCATATAATATCTAGCTTCACTTTCATTAAAAATTTATTAGTCGTATTAATAAAAAAATAATTTTATCATTTTTTTTACATTGAAATATATATTTTATTGGGGGATTTTTTTTTAAGGTCCCTAATAATAACAATTTAGAGGCTAAAGGACACACAAAAAGATAGTGATGCCTCACGTCCCTGAAACAACTTGGCGCGCGTTTTTAATTATTTTGTGGACCAAAATACCCTAAATCTATCAGTTAAGTCAACAATATAATATTCAAACAAATTTATGTTACAAAGGAAGGGTAATTTAGGTACTTTATAACCTAAAATAAATTTAAGGGACCTTAGCCATCAAAACATATTATAAAGGACCTCTCCTCATATCAAAAGTAGAGGAGGGACCTTAGGCCAATTTTCCCTATTTTATTTTATGTATATTTATGTCTTTATACTACCTGTATTAGTTTTCACTTTAACCTTACTATGTCTCGTTTGGGAACATACTATTTTAATAATTTTTTAATTTTTTATAAAAAGATGTGCAAAAAAAATAAAGAGAGTAATGTGACAATTTATAGTGACTTTTAAAATTTTCAGCTAAAATATTTAGTCTCCAAACGACGCCTAAAAGAAAAGTCTGTGTAATTATATCAAAAAATGGGAATTATTGTAGTTTTTTTTCAAATTTTACGAGAAATTGGTATAATTTATTTATTTATTTTTGTTATTGTTATTGTTAAGGTGTGTATTAATAGAATTATCTAATGAGAACTCGGTCTATAAATTCCAATCTCAATTTTATTTGCCAAAGATTCAGGTGTTGAAATACTTTGGGAAATTTTGTTTCCACCCACCAAATTATCTTTATGTACATCTTTTCTCAATCTACACATTTAGTAATTTGATTTTTATTTATTTATCTCAGTCTATAAACTTCACATTCCAAATATACCCTCACCTTCTCTGTACACATCTTCTCCTTCTATCCTTTCTCACTCCAAAAATCTTAACCCTAACTACACCAACTACCGGCGACGGCGGCAATAACGACATCAACCACCGCCTCTTCCCAGCCTCACAGCCATTCTCACACAGCCCCTCACGCTGCCATTGTTGCAATTGGAACAAGGGGTACCTTAGAGCAGAAGTCTGTTGGGAGGTATTCCAGATGGTCCATTTTTTTTATTTTTTTATTTTTTTGTGATGAATTCAAATACTGTGAAGTGTAGAAATCGAGCGGCAGCCTATCTGTGAACTCAAATTTTCCCATCTGCAACCCCTAGCTACAAACAGAGGCAACTGTAACTTTGTTTTTAAAGCAGTACCTTAGAGCAGAAGTCTGTTGGGAGGTATTCTAGATGGTCCATTTTTTTTTTTTAAATTTTTTTTGTGATGAATTCAAATACTGTAGAGTGTAGAA